CCTTTCCCCCACGCAGTGGCACCGCCCGCTCGCTCCCTGCGCTGCGCAGGAGCGGGCCATGAGGGGGACGCGGGGGGGGACACGGGGGGATGTGGGGACACGGACGGGGGACACGGACGGGGACACGGAGGGGACATGAGAAGGACATGAAGGGGGACACGGGGGGATGTGGGGACATGAGGGGGATACGGAGGGGGACATGAAAGGAACACGAAGGGGACACGGAGGGGGGACATGGGGAGGACATGAGTGGGACATGGGGGGACACGAAGGGTGACACGAGGGGGACATGGGGGGATTTGGGGACACGAGGGGGACACGGAGGAGGGACGAGGGGATATGAAGGGGACACGAGGGGGGGACATGAGGGGGACACGGGGGGATGTGGGGACACAGGGGGGACATGAAGGGGACACGAGGGGGATGTGGGGACATGAGGGGACACAGAGGACACAAGGAGGACGTGGGGACATGAGGGGCGGTGCAGGTGGCACACAAGGGGGACAAGGACAGGGACACAGACACACGACCCCACAGCCCCAAAACGGGGTCACAGGACCCCCAAGCCCTGCCCTTTGTGTCACTGTCCCCCGGGAAACTGAGGCAGGGGGTGGGAGCAGCCAAAAAGTCCAAAAGCAGCCGGGGAGCCCCCAAAAAGCTCTGTACACACACACACACACCTCAATATTCTCCTGCCATTAAACCCCTGAGAACCTCGTTAATTGTTGTCCGTTAATTTGGGAACGCTAATTGGGGAACATCGGTCATTTGGCTTGAATAAACCCGGGTCTGGGGCTTGGATAAATCTGAGTCCAGGGCTGGATAAACCTGAATCCAGGCTTGAATAAACCCAAGTTCAGGCTTGGACAAACCCGAGTCCAGGCTTGGATAAACCCGAGTTCCAGGTTTGGATAAACCCAAATCTAGGCTTGGATAAACCCGATTCCAGGGCTGGTGCCCTCATCCTTGCTGGGAATGGGGTTTTCCATGGGTTTATTTAGGATTTATCCCCCAAATCTGAAGGGGACAGGTCGGAGCATCCTTCCCTGGGCTGGGGCAGCCCGCGCTAATGAGCGGCTCCCCAAGACATTGATTAATTATGCAAATGAGTGGGAAAAACACCCAGAGCCGCCCGGAATGGCAGCAGAGGGTCTGAGAGCCCAGCCTTGACCTCTGCCATCCTCCTCCTCCTCTTCCTCCCGTCGGGACGGGGAAAATGGGGGAAAAATCAGGAAATCAGCCCCGGGGGGACGGCAGAGCTGCAGGCGGGCCTGGCCGAGCAGGAGAACTGGAGGAACTGGAGGAACTGGTGCGGGGAGAGACTCGTGGGAATCGCGGCACACCCGGCCCGAGCACCAGCACCGGGAGATCGCCGCTAAAATCCCAAAATTCCTCTTTTCCCCCCAAATCCCTGCCTGGAAAAGCGGCGCGGACAAACCCTCCCCGCCGCTTTTCCGCGTTTTGCCAAGGGCAAAGTCCCTCCCGTGCCTCGCCGAGCCACCTGTGCCAAGAGTCCGTGCCACCCATGCCACCCTCCCGAGGGGAAAAACACCCTGGATCCACCTCGCAGGAAAACACCACCAAAAAAGCGCAAAGCAACACCGAATTTGGGGGGTTTTTTAGGGAAAAAGCACCAAAACCAACGCCAAGCAGATGTTTGTCCCTCCCACGCTGGGGACCCCCCAAGCTGGAGCATTCCCCCCTTTTTTTGCGTGGGCACAAAATGTGAAATCCCCGCTCCAAGCAGCCCGGCCGGTCGGACCAGGAGCGCGGTGGAATTTTTTTGGGTGAAGGAAACACCACAAACTTGTTGGGCTCCGAGGTGCCCCCGCCTTGGCACTGCTCTGCCTCCCCTTTCCTTGGCACCCCCTCTTTTTTTGGGGGGCAGCCGGGTGGGTTCCGTGTAGCGTTTTGAGAGAAATCCCAAGGAATTCGGTTTAAAGTTGGTTTTGTTCCGCCCGTCCCGCGGCGCTGCTTTGGGGACGTCCCAGGGACGAGATTAATTTTTCTCCTTTTTTTGGGGGGTGGTTTAAAGCATCCAAGCGGCCTTTAAGGCAGCAGAAAGTCCCATTTCCCACGGAAATACCCTTAAAAATAAAAACCAAACCCAAAAACCACCACCCCAGCCAAGGAGGGGCTTTCCCTGCCCACCCCCTCCGAGCGACGGCGACGCTACAAAGGGGTCACAAATCACCCCAAAATGTGGGGGACGAGATTTGGGGTCACAAATCACCCCAAAAAGTGGGGGACGAGATTGGGGTCACAAATCACCCCAAATGTGGGGACGGGGTTTGGGGTCACGAATCATCGGTTTGGGGTCACAAATCACCCAAAAAAGTGGGGACGAGAGGGGGGGGACGGGGTTGGGATCACAAATCACCGGTTTGGGGATCACAAATCACCCCAAAAAGTGGGGACGGGGTTTGGGGTCACAAATCACCCCAAAAAGTGGGAATGAGAGGGAGAGATGGGGTTGGGGGTCACAAATCACCCCAAAAAGTGGGGACAAGAGGGCGGACGGGGTTTGGGGGAGCCGGGGCTCGCTCACCTCCCTGCGCAGCCCGCTCCATCTCCATCCCGGGGGGCAGCGTCAGATTTCGGGCTCCCCCCGGCCGGGGGGGCGGCCGGGCGGGGCTGGCGGAGCCCCCGGGGGGCGACGGCGACATGGCGGGGTCAGCGCGACCCCCGGGCCGGGGGCACCGCGGCTGCTGCGGGACAGAGCCGCGAGTCACCCCCAGTTTTAATTTCCACACACCGGGGGGGGCGGCCCCCGCTGTGTCCCCACCCCTCACCCCCCCGCCCCAAAAACCGGGGTGCGCTTTGATCCCACCCCTTCTTTCTTCCACCGCGTTTTCCTTTCCTCTCTTTTTTTTTTTTTTTTTTAATATTTTTTTCCCCCTTTTTTTCCTCCTCCCCCCCCCCCCGCCACAACCCGCGCAACTTCCCAACTTCTTCAGCCGCGCACCGGCAACTTTCCGCCTCCCCCAAAATCCCCGAATTTCCACGGGGAAAAATCCAATTTACCGGCCCCGGGACAAAGCGGGGTTCGCCGCCCCGCGTTCGCGGCGGGGTCGGGCCGGGGCTGGCGCGCTGCCCGCGGCCGAGGGCGCTCGGCGGGACCCCGGGGGGCTCCGGGATGGCGCGGGCACCCCGAGGGGAGCCCGGAGCCGCCGCACGTTGCTGTTGCCGCCGCCGCCGCCGCCGCCGCCGCTGCCGCTGCTTCCTTTGTTCTGCAGCGCCCGCTCGGGGGGACCCGCCGGGAGCACGGGGGGCTCCGGGCCGGGGGCTCGGGGTAACGGGGAGGAGGAGAGCAACGGGGGGAAACCCGGGGGGAATGGGGGGAACGGGAGGGGGAGAAACACCGGGGGGCTCGGGGGGTAACGGAGGGAACGGGAGGGGGGGAGCACCGGGGGGAACGGGGGGAATGGGGGAACGGGAGGGGGAGGGAAACGGGGGGAACGGGGAAACGGGGAGGGGGAAAACAACGGGGGGAACGGGGAGGGGGGGGAACACCGGGGGGATGGGGGAACCCCGGGGGGAACGGGAGAACGGGGAGGGGGAAAACAACGGGGGGAACGGGGAGAATGGGAGGGGGGGAACACCGGGGGGAATGGGGGAACGCCGGGGGGAACGGGGAAAATGGGGAGGGGGACAACAACGGGAAGAATGGGGGGACCCCCGGGGGGAACGGGGGCAACGGGGAGGGGGAGAAACACCGGGGGGAATGGGGGAACACCGCGGGGAACGAGGGAACGGGGAGGGGAAAAAACAACGGGGGGAACCTTGGGGGAACGGGAAGGGGAGGAATTGGGGGAACGGGGGGAACGGGGGAACGGAGAGGTTGAGAAACCCGTGAGGAACTGGGGAAATCCAGGGGGGAATGGGGAAATGGGGAGGGGGAGAAACACCGGGGGGAACGGGGAGGTCAACGGGGGAGATCTCGGGGGTAACGGAAGGGGGAGAACCCCGGGGGGAACGGGGAAACGGGAAAGGGGAGAGCACCGGGGGGAATGGGGGGAACCAGATCCTGTTCCACGGCCCCAAAAATCCCCCCTACTCTGCCCAGATTGCCCCATATCCCACCCCACAGCCCCAAATCCCCCACACCCCAGATTGCCCCATATCCCACCCCACAGCCCCAAATCCCCCACACCCCAGATTCCCCCATTCCTGCCCCATATCCCACCCCACAGTCCCCCAAATCCCCCCTACCCTGCCCCAGATATCCCACCCCACATTCTCCCAAATCCACCCTAACCCTACCCCCGATTCCCCCATATCCCACCCCACAGCCCCAAATCCCCCACACCCCAGATTGCCCCATATCCCACCCCACAGCCCCAAATCCCCCACACCCCAGATCCCCCATTCCTGCCCCATATCCCCCCAAATCCCAAATCACCACCCCAATCCCAGCCCTTGACCCTGTGTTTTTTAGGCTCTCACACCAGGCTCAGCACCGTCCCCCATTCCCCTTTTAGGACCCAAATCCCCTTGGCTTTCCCCCAAACCCACAGAGCACTGCCATCCCCCATCACAGCACCCCAAAACTGGGGGAACAACGTCCCCCACGTGTCCCCCCGTGTCCCCTCAGGGCCACCCCCAGACACAGAACAGCTCCTCAGCGATTTGATGTTAATTTAAAGGAAACAATTAAATACAAAATAACAAACGAGGGGGGTCGGGTTAAACACCGGGATTTTCCACGGGAATTCCAGCAGGAAATTCACCCCAAACAGGGGCAGGGGGGTCACAGCAAGGCCTGGGGAATCCTGACCCCAAAACCCCACAGGGCCCTGAGGATCCTGCCCTGGCCAGGACACAGGGGATGAGGGGACACTGGGGACCAGGACGTGTCCCTTGTCCCTGGGACTGTCCCCTGTCCTCAGGATCGTGTCCCCTGTTCCCAGGACTGTGTCCCCTGTCCTCAGGATCGTGTCCCCTGTCCCTGGGACTGTCCCCTGTCCTCAGGATCGTGTCCCCTGTCCCTGGGACTGTCCCTGGGACTGTCCCCTCTCCTCGGGGTCCTCAGGCAGACGCCGCCCCTTGCCCGGAGCTCAGGGGTTCAGGATGGGATGGCACAGAGTGGGCACCCAGGGATGTCACAAAGGCCTCCACCTGCAAGGACAGCCTGGCTGAAGGGGTGGCACCGGGGTGGCACCAGGATGGGATGGAACGGGGATGGACTGGCATGGCACTGGGATGGTGTAGGAATGGACTGGGGTGGCACCGGGATGGCACTGGGATGGTGTAGGAATGGACTGGGGTGGCACCAGGGTGGCACTGGGGTGGCACTGGGATGGTGTAGGAATGGACTGGGATGGCACTGGGATGGCAGTGGGATGGAACTGGGATGGCACCGGATCTGGGACAGTGTAGGAATGGACTGGGGTGGCACCAGGACCGTGCAAGGGTGGCACCAGCATGTCCCGGGCACACCAGCATGTCCCTGGCACACCCCACCCCGGCTCTGCTGGCACCAGGGCAGCGCCACCCAGCCCAGCTGTGCCACCCCAGCCGTGGCACCCACCTGTGCCATGAGCTGGCCCTGCCTGGCCCCGTCGTGCTCGAAGTCCTGCTCCACGTCCAGCACCAGGACGGGCGCGCGCCGCGCTGCCTCACAGTGGATCCTGCAGAGGGAGGGACGGCGAGGGCTGAACCCCAAAAAAACCCCAAAAACCTCCAAAAAAACCCCAAAAAAGCCCAAAATCCAGGGCACCCCAAAGCTGGGCACGCTTTGGGACTCACTCAGTGGCCCTGGCCACCAGCCAGAGCTCGTGCTGGCCATGGAGCTGCTGCAGGTAACCCAGCTGCATCCTGCCCTCCTGGAGGGGTTAACCCCCCAAAAAATCCACAAAAGCCCCCAAAACTCGGGGTTTGAGGTGACCCCAAAGCTGGGCATGTATCAGGACTCACTCAGTGGCCCTGGCCACCAGCCAGAGCTCGTGCTGGCCATGGAGCTGCTGCAGGCAGCCCAGCTGGATCCTGCCCTCCTGGAGGGGTTAAACCCCAAAAAAATCCCCCAAAAAACCCCAAAACTCGGGGTTTGGGGTGACCCCAAGGCTGGGCACACATGGGGACTCACTCAGTGGCCCTGGCCACCAGCCAGAGCTCGTGCTGGCCGTGCAGCTGCTCCAGGTAGCCCAGCTGGATCCCGCCCTCCTCGCTCCTCCCTCGGCGCCGCAGCCGCTCCAGGCACGTCTGGGGGGGAATATTTTACAATAAATATATTTATCAAATTACTATTTATCCTAAACCCACCCTAAAGCCCATCCTGAGCCCACCCTAACGCTCACCCCAAACCCACCCTGAAACTACCCTAACCCTCACCCTAAACTCACCCTAAAACCCATCCTGAGCCCACCCTAACGCTCACCCTAAACCCACCCTAATGCCACCCTAAAACCCATTCAAAACCCTCCCTAACCCTCACCCTAAACCCACCCTAAAACCCATCCTAAACCCCACCTAAACTCACCGTAAAACCCATCTTAAAGCCCCCCTTAACTCACCCTAAACCCACCCTAATCCCCACCCTAAAACCCCACAAACCCACCCTAAAACCCATCCTAAACCCCCACAAACCCACCCTAAAAGCCAACCTTAACCCCACAAACCCACCCTAAAAACCAACCTTAACCCCATCCTAAACCCACCCTAAAACCCATCCTAAACCCCACAAACCCACCCTAAACACCAACCTTAACCCCATCCTAAACCCACCCTAAAAACCAACCTTAACCCCACAAACCCACCCTAAAAACCAACCTTAACCCCATCCTAAACCCACCCTAAAAACCAACCTTAACCCCACAAACCCACCCTAAAAACCAACCTTAACCCCATCCTAAACCCACCCTAAAAACCAACCTTAACCCCACAAACCCACCCTAAAACCCATCCTAAACCCACCCTAAACCCACAGGATAAACCCGGCCCTGTTCCCCCAGGTATGGAAGTCCAGGTGTGGATTTCCAGGTGGGGAACTCCAGGTGCCCGGTGCCCACCTGGGGGCTGTGCAATGCCCACCTGGGGCAGTCCCAGTCCCAGTGCCCACCTGGGGGCTGTGCAATGCCCACCTGGGGCAGCCCCATGCCCAGTGCCCACCTGGGGCAGTCCCAGTCCCAGTGCCCACCTGGGGGCTGTGCAATGCCCACCTGGGGCAGTCCCAGTCCCAGTGCCCACCTGGGGGCTGTGCAATGCCCACCTGGGGCAGCCCCATGCCCAGTGCCCACCTGGGGCAGCCCCATGCCCGGTGCCCACCTGGGGGCTGGCACGCAGGTACAGGAAGCCGTGGGGCGCAGCGTGCGGTGCCAGGTGCCGCAGCAGCAGCTCGTGCCAGTCCTGGTAGATCGCCCACTCCAGGGGCTGCAGGTGCCCGTTCTCCAGCAGGGTCTTGGCAAAGACGTACCTGGGCACGGATGGGCACAGGGGGAATTTTGGCACAGATTTGGGGTTTTTGGGGTTTTTTTGTAGTCAGGAGGAGATGCGGGTGCTCCTCCTTGGTGTATATAAAATATGTATATAAACACATGAAATATATAGAAAATAGAATTAAAATATATAAAAATATTCTATATATATAATATACAAAAATATAGACAATATAGAAAAATATAAAAATTTGAAAAAAATTTAGATAAAGTATAGGTAAAATATAGATAAAAGTATAGATAAAGTATAGATAAAATACAGATAAAATATAGGTAAAAACAAGGAGCTGCAGGTGCTCCTCCTTGGTGTATATAAAATATGTATATAAACACATGAAATATATAGAAAATAGAAATAAAATATATAAAAAAATATTCTATATATATTATATAGAAAAATATAGAGACAATATAGAAAAACATTAAAAAATAGATAAAATTTAGATAAAATTTAGATAAAGTATAGGTAAAGTATAGATAAAAGTATAGATAAAGTATAGGTAAAGTATAGATAAAATACAGATAAAAACGAGGAGCTGCAGGTGCTCCTCCTTGATGAATATAAAATATATATATAAATACATGAAATATATAGAAAATAGAAATAAAATACATAAAAATATTCTATATATATTATATAGAAAAATTTAAAAAAATAGATACAATTTAGAAAAAAATTAGATAAAGTACAGGTAAAGTATAGATAAAATACAGATAAAATATAGATAAAAACGAGGAGCCGCAGGTGCTCCTCCTTGGTGTATACAAAATATATATAAAATATAAATAATATATAAAGATAAAATAAAAACATATAAGGTATATTATATATACTATTTCAAGGTATATTATATATACTATTTCTATAAAATATATATAATAGATAAAAAATAGATAATATATATATAAAGTAGGAGATCAATATAAAAATATAGAATGTATATTAAAATATATAATGTATATAACATACAGAAAATACATATAGAATATATATTATATATATTTTAAAATATAAAACTTATACAATAAAATATATTAAAAAATACGTGTTTAATCAACAAGATGTCTTGAAGACAAAGGTTAAAACCAAGGTTAAATTAAGGTAAAAAAGCCAAGGTTAAATTAAGGGAAATACCCCAGTGTGGGGGCCATGCAGTGCCCACCAAGCCTGGCATCACCCAAAGACCTTCATGGGGCACCCCCAAATGACCCCAAAATGCCATTCCTGCCATTAAACCCCTCTGGGCACCTCTGGGGACAGACCCTGCCCACCCTGGGCACCCCCAGCCCAAGCCCAACCCCGTGCCCCCATTTTAGGGTACCTGTTCCCCTTTTTGGGGTACCCGTGCCCCCATTTGGGGAACCCTTGCTCCCCTTTTTGGGGCACCCGTGCCCCCATTTTGGGGTACCCATGCCTCCATTTTGGGGTACCCTTGCTCCCCTTTCTAGGGTACCCGTGCCCCCATTTTGGGGTACCTGTTTCCCCTTTTTGGGGTACCCGTGCCCCCATTTTGGGTCACCTGTTCCCCTTTTTTGGGGTGCCCATTCCCCCTTTTTTGGGATACCCATTCACCCTTTTGGGTGTGCCTGTTCCCCCATTCTGGGGTACCTGTTTCCCCTTTTTGGGGTACCCGTGCCCCCATTTTGGGTCACCTGTTCCCCTTTTTTGGGGTGCCCATTCCCCCTTTTTTGGGATATACATTCACCCTTTTGGGTGTGCCCGTTCCCCCATTCTGGGGTACCCGTGCCCCCATTTCGGGGTACCCATGCGCCCATTTTGGGGTACCCGTTCCCCCATTTTGGGGTACCCGCGCCCCCATTTCGGGTACCTGTCACTGAACAGGGAGCGCTCAAAGACCCTGACGGGGGGGGCGCTCCCGGGGGTCCCCCCGCTGCCCCCGGGGGGCTCCAGCACGGCCCGGAGGCGGCTCAGGCACGAGAGGCTCTGGAAGGTGAAGGACCAGCGGGCGGGCGCCTGGTACATCAGCTGCAGCAGGTTGGCACTGCCCCCCGGATCCTGCGGGGCAGGCCACAGATATTTATATTTCATCCATCTTTTATGTGTATATATAATATCCATATTTTATGTATATATGTAATATACATAAAAATATTTTTATATACTTAATATTTTAAAAATACTTATATTTATAAGCATAATATTTTTATAAATATAAATACGATATACATTTTATAAATATACATTTATATATAAATTTCAATATTATATACATTTTATAGATATACATATTATATAAATTTTATATATATATTATATATATAAATATAATATATATTATATATACATAATATATACTATATATATACACATAATTATATATATACCTATTATATATATTATATATATACATAATATATATATACACTATATATATATAATATATATACAATATATATTATATATACACATATATACATAAACATATTTATGTTTTTATATATACAATATATAATTTATATATTTATAAATATATAAAATTATATCTTTACAAATATATAAATTATATATATAAGTATCATACACATTCTATAAATACACATCAATATAAATATAGATATAAATATAATTATAAATATAAATATATATTTTCTAGATATACATATATACATTTTATAAATACAAATATGATATAATACATAAAATATATTTATAATTATAATATATTTATATTTGCATAAATATAAATATAGAAATATAAAACAGGATGCAGGAAAACAGGAGAGGGGCTCAGTGGCAGGGAAGGAATGTGGGAAGCACAAACCCAGGCGATGCTGCACCCCCTCCCCAAAACCCACCCGAAACCCCCCTAACCCCCATAAACCCACCCTAAACCCTTTGGGGTCAGGGGTGGCAGCAGGCTGGCACAGCCCTGGGACACCTGCGGGCACATTTTGGGGTCAGGGGTGGCACATTTGGGGTCGGGGGTGGCACATTTGGGGTCACGGGTGGCACATTTGGGGTCGGGGGTGGCAGCAGGCTGGCACAGCCCCGGGACACCTGCAGGGACATTTTGCGGTCCGGGGTGGCACATTTGGGGTCAGGGTGGCACATTTGGGGCCGTACCCCGTTACCTGGGCAGTGCCAGCGGCCCCTGGCACCCGGCGCCACTGCGCCACCGGCTCTGTCACCAGGTGCCAGCGCGGGAAGGCGGCGGCCAGCAGGCGCAGGAAGGTGGATTTGCCCACGGCTGCGGGAGGGACAGCAGGGTCAGCCTGGGGTGTGGGGGGAGCCTGGGGGTCCCCCCAGCAAATCCCGGTAACACGGGGTGAGCCGGGGTGCCCCCACCCCAAATCCCGGGGTGAGCCCGGGTCCCCCATTCCCACTCCTGGGATGAGCCGGGGTCCCCCATTCCCGCTCCGGGGATCCTGGGGTGAGCCTGAGTGTCCCCCTCAGGACTCGGGATGAGTTTGGGGTTCCCCCCACCCAAAATCTGGGAAATATTGGGGTGAACCTGGCGTTTCCCCACTGCGGCTACTGGGCAAATCTGGGGGTGCCCCTTCCTGGCTCCTGGGAGTGTGGGGTGACCCTCGGTGACTCCAACCTGATCCCCGAAAATCTGGGGTGACCCTGGGTGACTCCAACCCTGCCCTGGGAGTGTGGGGTGACCCTCGGTGACTCCAACGCGACCCCGAGAATTTGGGGTGACCCTGGGTGACTCCAACCCTGCCCTGGCAATTTGGGGTGACCCTCGGTGATTCCAACCCGACCCCGAGAATTTGGGGTGACCCTGGGTGACTCCAACCCTGCCCTGGCAATTTGGGGTGACCCTCGGTGACTCCAACGCGACCCCGAGAATTCGGGGTGACCCTGGGTGACTCCAACCCGACCCCGAGAATTCGGGGTGACCCTTTGTGTCCCTAACCCGGGGCACCCTTTGTGTCCCGCTCCCAGCTCCCAGCAGCTCGGGGTTTTTGGGCGCGCCCCCAGCAGCCATAATTAAGCTAATTACGGCCGTTAATTAACGCCATTAGCTCCCCCGGCTCCCCACACCCCCGGTGCCCCCCACACCCCCGGTGCCCCCGGTACCGATGTTCCCCTCCAGGGCCAGCCGCAGCCCGGCCCCGCACCGCCCCATGCCCCCGCCGCCGCCGCCGCTTCCGCCTTCCCGCGTCATATGCTAATGAGATGGTAATCAGCAGCGCGCGCCACCGCCCCGTGACGTCAGCGCGCGGGAAGTGGGCGGGGTGGAGGAGGCGGAAACAGCGAGGGGAGGGGAGGCGGGACGGGGGCGGTATGGTAATTTATGCAAATGAGACGCTGTCCGCAGCGCGTCAGGGCAATGCGGGGGGGTGCAGGGGAGAGAGGGTGGGGCACGAAATGGGGGGTCGGGGGCACCAACCGAGGGTCAAGGGCACCGAAATGGGGGTGGGGTCACCGAAACAATAATGGGGCCACCAACAGGGGTTTGGGGTCACCAAAACAACAGTGGGGTCTCCAAAATGGGGTTGGGGTCACCAAAGCAATCTTGGGGCCACCAAAACCATGTTGAGGTCCCCAAAACCATATTGGGATCACCAGCATGGGAGTTGGGGTCCCCAGAATGGGGCTAAGGACATCAGCACGAGGTTGGGGTCACCAAAACCACATTGGGGTCACCAAAACAACATTGGGGTCACCAAAACAACACTGGGGTCTCCAAAATGGGCTTGGGGTCCCCAGCATGGGGCTAAGGACATCAACATGGGGTTGGGGTCACCAAAACCACATTGGGGTCACCAATAGAATGTTGGGGTCACCAGCAGGGGGTTGGGGTCACCAAAACCACATTAGGGTCACCTATACAAAATTGGGGTCACCAACATGGGGTTGGGGTCCCCAGCATGGGGCTGAGGACATCAACAGGGAGTTGGGGTCACCAAAACCACATTGGGGTCACCAGAAGGGGGTTGGGGTCCCAGTATGGGAGTAAGGACATCAACAGGAAGTTGGGGTTCACCCAAACCACACTGGGGTCACCAAAACCACATTGGGATCACCAATAGAACATTGGGGTCACCAACATGGGGTCGAGGGCATCATGGCAGGGTTGGGGTCACTGACATTGGGCCAGGGGCATCATCACAGGGTTGGGGTCACCAGCATGGGGTTGAGGGTTTATCTATGGGGTTGGGGTCACCAATATGGGGTTGAGGGCATTGCCATGGGGTTGAGGGCATTGCCATGGGGTTGGGGACACCAAGGCCACCAGCAGGACACGCCACCAAGGTGAGGTCAGGGCTCCTTCCCCCCTCATCCCCCAGTCCCCCCATCCCAGGTGTCCCAGGAAGGCTCCGAGATGGAGAAAAGGCTTTTTTAATGCGCGGTGGGCGTGGGAGGAGCAGCGGGGTCCGGGGGGAGCGGGGCCCCCCAGCCTGGGCACGGGGGGCGCCCGCGGGGCGGGGAGGGGGCTTAGAAGCATTTTCGGTGGACGATGGAGGGTCCGGCCTCGTCGTACTCGGGTTTGCTGATCCACATCTGCTGGAAGGTGGAGAGGGAGGCCAGGATGGAGCCGCCGATCCACACCGAGTACTTGCGCTCCGGCGGGGCGATGATCTGCGGGGACACCGGGCTCAGGATCACCCCGAAACCCCAAAAAGCAGGAGGGGCTTTGGGGTGGCGGCCGCTCAGCCGGGGCCTACTTTGATCTTCATGGTGCTGGGGGCCAGGGCCGTGATCTCCTTCTGCATGCGGTCGGCGATGCCCGGGTACATGGTGGTGCCCCCGGACAGGACGTTGTTGGCGTACAGGTCCTTGCGGATGTCGATGTCGCACTTCATGATGGAGTTGTAGGTGGTCTCGTGGATCCCAGCGGACTCCATGCCTGGTGTGGGAGGGGGCTGTCACCTTCCTGTCACCTCCCTGTGCCCCCACAGGGCTCCCCAAAACAGCCACGGGGGCTGCCCTGGGTCTGGGGGGTGCCGAGGGCTTGGGGGAGCCCCAAAACGTCACCACGGGGCACCAGGGGAGCTGGGGGATGGCCAGAGGGGCATTTGGTGTTTGTCTGCTGGTGGGGAGGGGGGCAACCATGGCCAGGGGGAATTGGGGTGGGGTCAGCCATGAAGGAAAGATCAACAGAGTCTGGGGGATGCGGGGGCACTGGGACAGGGTCTGGGGGCACTGGGGCTGGCTCACCAATGAACGAGGGCTGGAACAGGGTCTGGGGGCACAGGAACTGGGTCTGGGGGCACCGGGGGCACTGGAGCAGGGTCTGGGGGCATTGGGGGCACTGGAGCAGGGTCTGGGGGCACTGGGGGCACTGGGACAGGGTCTGGGGGCACCGGGGCGCGCTCACCGATGAACGAGGGCTGGAACAGCGTCTCGGGGCAGCGGAAGCGCTCGTTGCCGATGGTGATCACCTGCCCGTCGGGCAGCTCGTAGCTCTTCTCCAGCGAGGAGGAGGAGGCGGCCGTGGCCATCTCGTTCTCGAAGTCCAGCGCCACGTAGCACAGCTTCTCCTTGATGTCGCGCACGATTTCCCGCTCGGCTGCGGGACAGGGCGGCTCAGCCCGGCGTCCCCGCGGCGCCGCCGCCCCGTCCCCGTCCCCGTGCCCTACCGGTGGTGACGAAGCTGTAGCCCCTCTCGGTGAGGATCTTCATGAGGTAGTCGGTGAGGTCGCGGCCGGCCAGGTCCAGGCGCATGATGGCGTGGGGCAGCGCGTAGCCCTCGTAGATGGGCACGTTGTGGGTGACGCCGTCGCCGGAGTCCAGGACGATGCCTGGGACACGGGGAGGGTGAGGAGGGGACGCCCCGGGCCGGCCCCTGTCCCCCACGGTGTCCCCAACTCACCGGTGGTGCGGCCGGAGGCGTAGAGGGAGAGCACGGCTTGGATGGCCACGTACATGGCGGGGACGTTGAAGGTTTCAAACATGATCTGGGGGGGACGGGAGAGGGGCAGGGGGTGAGGGGTGGGCATGGGGGTCACCAGCACAGCCCAGCCCAGCCCTGTGCCTTCCTGGGGTCAGGGAATGGCACGGAGAAACACGGGGATGGTGTGGGGCATGGAGAAACACGGGAATGGTGTGGGGCACGGGAGAATGGGTGGATGGTGGGGTTGTGGGGCATCAAGGAATGGGTGGATGTGGGGTTGTGGGGCATCAAGGAATGGGTGGATGGTGGGGTTGTGGGGCAGAGAAGAGGACAGGGAAACACATGGGATGTGGGAAAACGTGGGCCAAGAGGTGGAAATGTGGCTGAGGGCAGGACACAGAGCCACGTGGGGCCGTGCACAGAGTGGGGAGCACGAGGGCCGAGGGGTGGCATGGAAATGGGGGCCACAGCATCTCACAGAGCCACGTGGGGCTGTGCAGAGTGGGGAACGCGTGGTGGGGCAAATCCTGCAGGTCCACAAAATGCCAAGAGACCCCCAGGGCCATCAGGGTTGGGGTCAGTAGTGGGAACTTCCCACTGGATCTCTGCCCTTATCCCTCACCCCACTCCCCACTCGTGCACCCCACAAATCCTCCCCAGCCCTCCCTGCGGTTTTGGAGGCTCCAGCCCCATGCAGGGGGGATCTCCAGGGCCCCACCTGGGTCATCTTCTCCCGGTTGGCCTTGGGGTTGAGGGGAGCCTCGGTGAGCAGCGTGGGGTGCTCCTCGGGGGCCACGCGCAGCTCGTTGTAGAAGGAGTGGTGCCAGATCTGAGCGGGGCACAGAACCGGGGGGCGTCACCCCGAACCGAGGCGGGGCTGACCCCTCTCCCCGCCCCGCCCGGGCCTCACCTTCTCCATGTCGTCCCAGTTGGTGATGATGCCGTGCTCGATGGGGTACTTGAGCGTGAGGATGCCCCTCTTGCTCTGCGCCTCGTCGCCCACGTAGCTGTCCTTCTGCCCCATGCCCACCATGACGCCCTAACGGGACGGAGGCCTCGTCAGCGGGGCTGTGCTGCCCAGCTGGGGCCGGGGGCTCCCCCAGAGCCCCCCGGGTACCCACCTGGTGCCGGGGCCGGCCCACGATGGAGGGGAAGACGGCGCGGGGGGCATCGTCGCCGGCGAACCCGGCCTTGCAGAGCCCGGAGCCGTTGTCGCACACCAGGGCCGTGGTTTCCTCGTCGCACATGGCGGGGTGGCAGCGCTCGGTGCTGGGGGGACCTGGGGGAAAAGCTGCCCGGGGGGGAAAGGGGGTTACACACGGGATGGGATGGGCTCATCCCACGCTGCCATCACCGGGGATTTGGGCTCGGAGCTGTCGGAGTCCTCGGGGAGGGGCAGCCCCGTAAATCCTCCCTGGGTGATGCTCGTTCCCCATGGGTGCTGCTCCATCCTTCTGCAGCCTCTTCGTGGCCAAAATTGGTGCCAAAGCTTCCCCCGGGTGCTGCCGTGCCCGGTTGGTGCCCCCCGAAGCGGGCAGGGGGTGCCAGGTGGTGCCCTCTCCTCATCCGCTTCAGCCTCACCAGCGTTTTGCTGCTCTGACCTCGCATCCGCCCCCAAAAATGGGGGGAAAACAATTGCCCTTCCCAGGGGGTGCCCCCTGTGCCGGGGGATGAGCTCCCCGATCCAGAGGGAAACGGGCAAAAACCAAAAAGCAAAAGAAAAAAGCCCAAACTGCGGAGAAAGGAAAAGAAAAACCCCAAATTGTGGAGCAAGTAAAAGAAAAACCCCAAATCACGGAGAAAGCAAAAGAAAAACTCTAAATCGTGGAGAAAGCAAAAGAAAAACCCCAAATCACGGAGATTTCTGCGAGAGCACCACCTGCCTTGGCCTCAGCCCAGCTCTCAGCACCTCCACCGTGGGGTCGTGCCGAGCTTGGCACCCCCTCCGTGCCAGGCACACCCGGCTGGTGCCACCCCAGAAACGCCGGGGCGCCCCAATAAACCCCGTGAGGTGTTTTCCATGTCCTGCGAGGAGAAGAGAAGCAGGGCAGGGCAGGGCAGGGCAGGGCAGTACTCACCACGGAGGCGAGAGCTCCTTTCCTCTGGGACCGAGCCCCGGCGCCCCGGGTATAAATACCGGCGAGCCCGAGGAACCTCAGAGGCGGATCCGCTCTAAACAAAGACCCTAAATAGGCTCGGTGATGGTGTGCCGGCCATATGGCCATATAAGGTGTTTTATTTCATTAAATTGACCTCGGGCCGGCGGCGGGACCCGGCGCGGGTAATTATTGTAGGGAAATGTATGGCAGGGATGCTTGGGAGCACCGGCCCCGCCGGGATCCGTTCCTTTTATGCTGCGCTGCGATAAACAAGCGAGACTCAAGTCCTTATAAGCGAGGGCCGGGAACAGGAGCGGGGAGCGGCTCCAGGTGCCGGGGGGCGCTGGGGGAGCGGGCGGGGGGCGGCTCTGGGGGCGCTGCCCGGGGACACCCCCGGGATCGGAGCTGCCGGAGCCGCCCCGGCTCCTCCCGGCCCCGCTCCCCCACCGGCGCTCCCGGGATGCCTTTTCTCTCTCTCCGCCCCCATTTTTGGGCTTTTGCTGTCCCAAAGCCCCAAGTCCTCGGCCTGAGCCGGCCCGGGGGCTGTGGGTCCAAGTGCCAAGGCCGGTTCTGATCCCTCCCGGGGGTTCCGGAGAGGGGATCAGGATCAGCTCAGAGCCCCCCGGGGACACGGTGGGAGCTGTCCCCGAGCCCGGGGCCACCCCCAGCCCTGCAGAGCCCAACCAGAGGCTCCCGAGTCCCGGCTGCCTTTTTAAGGACAACGGGCCCTGAGCAGAGATGGCCCCGGGTCACCCCCCGAGCCAGCGAGGGCTCCGGGGAAACTGAGGCACGGCGGGCCCGGGGTGATCCCCAGCTGTGCCCGGGGCAGGGACATCCCAGCATGGAGCTGTCACCACGGGCAGGGACACAAAGTCCTGGTGTCCCCCACGGTTCCAGAGGGAGGGAATGGGCCCTGGGTGTCACCCATGGGGCAGGACAGTGTCCCCAGCACTGCCAGTCCATTCACAGCCCAATGTCCCCCGGCATGGCTCTGTCACCTCTGTATTGTCACCCTCTGGGGCAGGACAGTGTCCCCAGGGATGGCTCTGTCCCCTCTGGTCTGTCACCTCATAGAGCAGGACAGGGCCACAGTGCGTCCCCAGCACTGTCGGTCCATCCAGCACCCCCAGGACTGGCTCTGTACCCTCTGAGCTGTCACCCTCCAAGAGCAGGACAGGGACACAGTGTCCCTAGCTCTGCCAGTCCATTCCCAGCCCAATGTCCTCCAGGGATGGCTCTGTCCCCTCTGGGCTGTCACCCATGGAGCAGGACAGTGTCCCCACCATTACCAGTCTATTCACAGCCCCAGTGTCCCCCAGGGATGGCTCTGTCCCCTCTGGGCTGTCACTCCCCAGGGCAGTGCAGGGCCACGGTGTGTCCCCAGCATTGCCAGTCCATCCAGCAATGCTGAATTTCTGAACATCCCCGAACATCCCCGAGCATCCCCGAGCATCCCCGAGCCCGGAGCGATCCCCGAGCATCCCGGGCCGGCCGGGGCCCGGCGGCAGCGCAGCCCCGAGCGGAGCCGGGCGCAGCCTAAAAAGGAAAGGTTTGGCCCCCGCAGCCAATCCCGCGGGCCCGGGATGCTCGCAGGAACGCCCGGCATCCCCCGGAACGGGACAGGCACCGGCCCCGGCCCCGCTCCTTCCCAACCCCCGGGACCGGCACCGCCCGCGGGGGATGCTCGGGCTGGAGGCCCCGGGGGATGCTCGGGGCTGGAGGCCCCGGGGGATGCTCGGGCTGGAGGCTCGGGGGATGCTCGGGCTGGAGGCTCGGGGGATGCTCGGGGCTGGAGGCTCCGGGGATGCTGCTGGGGAAGGGAAAAAGATGCGAAAAGAGAGATGTGGATGTGTTTCCCTGTGCTGAGGTGCAGATAAGCATCGCCCATCGCTCCCTGCCCGCGGGATCCCCCAGAACTCACAGCCAATAAATCACTCCTGGCTTATCGTCGGGGTGAGCTCCTCCCAAACCAATCCCAGCCCAAGTTTGGGTGGGTTAAGGTGTGGCAGCCACATCTGGCGCAGCTGGAGAGCCAGGCTGGGCAGCAGGGCCTGGATACTGGCGTTCATTGACACACACAGAGTGAGGATTGAGGGAGCTGGGGTGAAAAAATGGGGTGGAAATGTGAGAATTCAGGGAGCAGGGCTGGGAGCTCAGTGGCAGCAGGAACTCCCTGCTCCAAGGAAAATTTCCTATGAAGGTTCACCAGCCCCTGGGACAGCACCAAAGGGGTGATGTGCCACCAGCTGACACCTGAGAGCTGCAGGGCTGTGCAGCTGGGAAAAATCCCCACGGACCTGAAGGAATTGCTGCTTTGCAGGATTTTCCACTCGCTGTCCCCGCACTGCTGCTTGGGGTGAGGAGCTGTGGGATGAACAGCACGGAATCTGCACCCCCTCCCGGCACGGCTTCAATTAATCAGGGCTGGAAAAGCGTTCCCAGAGATGCCCCGAAGGCTCCTCCCTCCCAGCCCGGGCCAGGCTGTTCCCAAAAGGGGCTGGGGAAAGGCTGCGGCGGCGCTGGCACGCACAGCACAGGCGGCACAGCCAAAGGAAAGGATCCCCCGGGGCAGAGCCCAGCCCAGCGAGGGCCCTGGGGACAGGAGGGGGAAATCCCGCCCGGATAATCCCGTCCGTGTGTGCCCCACACAAACGTCTGCATGGCAGGGGGGAGGGGGGCCCCAGCCCCTTCTCCATGTGCTGAACATCCCATCCCATCATCCCATCCCATGGATCCCATCCCATTCCATCCCATGGATCCCATCCCATTCCATCCCATCCCATGGATCCCATCCCATCCCATGGATCCCATCCCATTATCCCATCCCATCCCATCCCATTATCCCATCCCATTATCCCATCCCATCCCATGGATCCCATCCCATTATCCCATCCCATCCCATCCCATGGATCCCATCCCATCCCATTATCCCATCCCATTATCCCATCCCACCCTGCTGGGGACAACAGCACGGCTGGAACAGCTGCCTGGCACCTTGGAACGATTCCCTCTCTCTCTGCTATCCTGAATTTCTGCTGCTTCCCTCCCTCTGTGCCATCCTGGAATGATTCCCTACCCCTGGGAGCAGGGAAGTGGCCAAAGCTGCTGGAAATCCCATCTTGGAGTGGGATGGGAGCAGTAAAAGCTATTGGAAATCCCATATTGGAGTGGGACTGGGGTGGTCAAAAATGCTGGAAATCCCAGCTTGGATTGGGATGGGAGTGGTAAAAGCTGCTGGAAATCCCATCTTGGACTGGGACAGAAGAGGTCAAAGCTCCTGGAATTCCACCTTGGAGTGGGATGGGAGTGGTAAAAGCTGCTGGAATCCCATCCTGGAGTGGGATTGGGATGGTAAAAGCTGCTGGAATCCCATCCTGGACTGGGATGGGAGCAGTAAAAGCTGCTGGAATCCCATCCTGTAGCGGTGGTGGCAGCCAGACTGAGCTCCTCCACCAGGCCAGGAAAAGGGATGAGTGCCCAGACACCCCCAAACACAGCTGGGGTGCACATCTCAGGATTTCCAGCCCTGAGATGCTGCCAGAGGGATCCCAAAGGACCCCCTGGGCCCTCTCCCCTCCCCAGGCAGACACACAGGTACCCACAGCAGCCCTGAGCTGGTGAGGCGCTCACAAGGGCCAGCAAGGCTTGGGTTTGAACCAAGGGAAAGGTTTATCTGCTCCAGCAGCCCAGAATGGGACACAACAGGGCAGGGCTAAAGTGGGCAAGTCCCAAAAGCACTTGGAGAGGTTTCCACACCTCGGGGCTGCAGCAGGTCCCAAAGAACCTCCCCAGGAGGCCGTGGGGTAGAGTTAAACAACTGCTTTAGTGTTGGTTCTGTCTCGGGGCTCCCAGCCGGCCTCTGCCCACGCCTGGAGCAGCACTGAGGGTCCAGGGCCTCCAGGGGAGGCAGGGAGGGGTCACAGCATGGTGGGGAGGAATCAGCTGCTGCAGGAGAGGAAAGAGTCCCTAGCAGGGCCTGAGGGGAGGGGGTGGCTCCTGAGAGGGCACAAGGCAGGAGGGTCACCGGAGATCCAGCAGCACCACGTCCCTCTCCACCACTGACACGTGGCTGCACGTCTGCAAGAGAGGACAGGGGGGGACAGGGGTTACTGAGGTGTTCCCACCTCCTGGCACAGCCTGTGCTGACCCAGAACAGCCCCTGGACAAGAGGGGACAAGAGGGGACAGGGGTTACTCAGGTGTTCCCAACTCCTGCCACAGCCTGTGCTGACCCAGAACAGCCCCTGGACAAGAGGGGACAAGGGGGGACAGGGGTTACTCAGGTGTTCCCAACTCCTGCCACAGCCTGTGCTGACCCACAACAGCCCTTAGATCCCGTTCTTGCACCCCCCCACCTGCTGGCCCTGCCTGGAGGCACCCAGGGATCCTGGCAGGCCCCAGACACAAATCCCCCACCCCAAAGAGCCCTGGGCTGCTGCCTGGCCCTGCTCCTGCAGCTCTGCAGCACTTCCAGCACCTGCAGAACCTCAGGAGGCTCCTGCACCTCCTCTCTGGGCACTGCAGAGCAGCCCCTGCTGCCAGGCTGAGCCTCCCAGCAGCTCTGGTGTACCCCCAGCACAGGCAGCCCTCCCCAGAGCCCCCAGGCACTCACTGTGAAGAGAGGGGGGTCTTTGGGGTGTGGGTGGAAGCCCTGCTGCCTGCAGGATGAGATCTCCTCCAGGCCGTGCTCTGTCAGCCTGAAGAACCCTGTCCTGCAGCAGGAACAGCAGCTCTGCAACTGCAGCTCTGCAGGCCTGGCCCATCCCTGTACATCCCATGGATCCCATCCCATCCTATGGATCCTATGGATCCCATGCCATCCCATCCCATCCCATGGATCTCATCCCTTTCCATGGATCCCATCCCATCCCATGGATCCCATGCCATCCCATCCCATGGATCCCATGCCATGGATCCCATCCCATCCCATGCCATGGATCCCATCCCATCCCATCCCATCCCATGGATCCCATGCCATGCCATGCCATCCCATCCCATCCCATCCCATCCCATGGATCCCATCCCATCCCATCCCATCCCATCGATCCCATCCCATCCCATCCCATGGATCCCATCCCATCCCATCCCATCCCATCCCATGGATCCCATCCCATCCCATCCCATCCCATCCCATGGATCCCATGCCATGCCATCCCATCCCATTCCATGGATCCCATCCCATCCCATGGATCCCATCCCATCCCATCCCATCGATCCCATCCCATGGATCCCATCCCATCCCATCCCATCCCATCCCATCCCATCCCATCGATCCCATCTCATGGATCCCATTCCATCCCTTTCCATCCCATCCCATGGATCCCAGCCCACACCCCTGGCA